CACCACTCAGTACCTTATTTGAGTTTTAAGTGAATCTGGTTTCCAGATATGTTGAGAAAAGGTCCTGTGTATTTCACATACCTGGGTCACCTGCTTCTTGATCTCCAGACCTTGGTAAGGAGCAGTTACTCAAATGAGTAGCAACATGTCCCAAGATGGACGTCTACCAGTAATATACTATTTGGTCGTGGTGCTTAAAATACTCACAGGACAACAAAACAATATTTTCAGTCGTTTTTAACCCCTACAGAGTTGACAACAGCCATCTTTCTGCTTTCTTGAACATGTGCAGGAGTTAACATGTAAAGAGGGTGTTTTGTTTTCCAGTTCTCATTTCCTCCCTGCTTTGATTTAATAATACAGATCCAGTGTTGACCAATGTGAAGTCATACCCATGAGGGCACCGGGTACAACGCTGCATTCACATGGGCAACTTTTCTGCTGTTCTCATGCAATAAATTGCTGAACTCTATCTAAAGGACCCCTGGGCAGAAAGGAGGTTGAGCTGGGCCTCCAAGTGAGGTTATATTGCATATACAAAGGCAATAATAGTGACTGAAAAAAAAAATGTTTATATAGAATGTATGGTAAAAGAAAGGTGTGAATTGCAGACACAAGCACCTGGCATTTTGTTTGCATTTCGTTTAACCTCAGGAGCTCAGCCTGCCCCCTCCCACAAGTGACAAGGGCTCTTTTCTTATTTCCTTCCCACACCCTGTGCGTGGCCCAGAGCCCTTCACCCCTTTGCTGTCAGGCACTCCCTCAAGCAGCGTCTCCTCCCTTTTCCTTGCAAGTGGTCCTTTGCTTCAGAAAATCTGGCTTTGCACCGTGAAATACATGGCCTGGATATTAGCACATGAATGTAGCCAGAAAACAAATCTCCCAGAGAGCCTGGCTTAGTGCTGTGGGTGTTATCATGAGTTAATGTCTCTGTGGTAGCATTTGCACTGCTGGTTTTAACTCGCCCAAGCTAGATTAAGGGAGGAACAGCAAGCCCACCTCCATCTTGCTGTGCTGACACTTGCTTAGGAGACTTTCCAGGATATTAAGCTATTAGGGACGGCTTTTTCCAAACAGCAGTAATAACAACAATAAAAAATACTAGCAGACTTTGGACTGGAGTTTAATTCAGGATAAAGATGCAAATTTTGGAGCAGCAGGGCAGGCAGCCAGGGCCTCTTTCATAACAGGGTGGGTTCAGCAATGTATGTGGGCAGAAGAGCACGCTGCAGATCCCATGGGGCACAGAGCTCATCCCGCACAAGGTTGGCCATCCTAGACCATCCTATTGCAACCACCATAAGGGACTCCCCGTGTGGGACATTGCCCAAGAAGGTTCTATCCCCCAGCCAAATGTATGAGACCAAAGAGTGGATGAACATTGCGTGTAGGGGCCAGCGATGGACTTGGCTTGGGCAGCTTCATACTGGTGACATTTTCAGGTTTTGCTGGGCTGCCCTTTGGTGTGAATATCCAAGCAGGCGGCAGTGACGGCTCCTGGTCCCAGTCCCTTTGCTTCCTTCCTGCCCGCAAATAAGACAGCACCTTTCCACACATGACAAGCAGGGAGGGATGGTGGGGAGAGGAGAAGGTGTTTGGAGAGACACGAGGATGTTTGTGAGTTAGCTCTCTGAGATCTGGGTTGCGACTTCACTTCACATTCATCTGTGAATTGTATGGTTAGAAAGTGCCACATGGGGGCCATAGGATTTGAACTGCAGCGACAACAAATTTAGGGGAAAAAAGGTGTCTTTGCAAGGCCAGCAGAAGACTGGAGGGCTGAGGTACTTGCACTGGGAAGTGATTTTATGCACAGCATGGCTAGATCTAGGGCCTGCGTTAATGTTTTTCACAGATATGATCTATGGTTATCTCGCTCCTGTACAGAAAGGGCTTGTACTCATTGCACACTGATCCCTTGAGCAAATCCTCATAAGAAGAAGCAGTTCCAAGTATCTGCACAGGGATATTAAGAAGGTTCAGTACTCCCTCATAATTGTAATTGTTAGAGGTAAACAGGTGTAAAACTGATGTGGGAAGAATAAGATCCTGAATAGCCAGGAGGGACCATTATGATATTTCAGTCTGACTTTCTTTATGAGTGATAGACTTTTACCTGGTAATTTGAAGGCTGGGGAACACTTTGATAATAAAGATCAGACTGTTTCCAAGCCTGATGCCAAATGACAGACACATCTTTTCCATAGACGTTTCCCCCAGTGATAGGGCCCGGGAAACAAGTATAATAGCCTCACATAAGAAAAAGTACAACTTCTCAGCAAAGAGCAGAGAACTTGAAACAGCAGTTTTGGCTATAGCCTTCATGTCTGAAGGTTGTTTGAGCTCCGAGGAGTCTCAGGGCTACCTAGAAGCACCACCAGCACATGTGGTAGAGAAAATGCTGTTTTCATATGGCCAAAGTTCTGCTTAGAAGACTAAGAAGCTGTGACTTCGATTGGGTTCATTGGGTTAGATTTCATCCTTAGATTGGGTTAGATTTCATCCTTAGCCACCTAGCTTGAACAAGGCATCTAGTCCATCTGTTGATTATGGGAAGAGACAAGTAGCTGTTTAGACATCTCTTTTAGAATAGGATAGCTTGCTGTCTGCAGGTGTCTATCTCTACTGGACATAGCAAGACCCTACATGACTGGGTTGGATTGAAGATGTGCAAAGCGGGTGAGATAATTTCCAACCTGGGGCTGTAGTAGTCTGACTTCACATCAAGAGTGATCAGAGTGCTGCTTGATTTTTGATGAGGTTTCAAGCAAAACTGGAGGCTGACGTAAGACTCCACCCTGGAATGGAGCCCTTAGGGCCACAGGTTTTCTTCACAACCCTGGGAAACTCATGTGAGTGAAAGCCACATTGCTTTCAGAGTTATCATCAGTCAGCTGCAAAGTCCTGCTACTCCTCTAGGACGCAGCAACACTCTCCTCAAGGATATGGTGGTACCCCTATTCTTTAAAGGGCCTGTTCCTTGTGTTCACAGGCAGTGGGAGCTTTGGGTTCAATTCCCAGCTCTGCTTGAGGGGGATCAAGCCCCTAAATCCCACATCTTCCAGGAGCCTCGGTCTGCTCAGAGTCAGGGCTGCCTTTGAGACCCACTCCAGGGTTCAGAGCATCACAAAATTCATGTGACCAGAGGCAATCAATGGCACCAGGGTTAGGATATTGTTTGGGTGGAGACAGAGAATCCTAGCGACCACCTATGTGTTTTGCATTGAAAGAGCAGATGTGGTCAGAAGAACCACCACATACCAGCTGGATCCCTTTTGAGCTAGACCTCAATCACTGAGCTAGACATCAATCTAGTTGTCTGGATCAACAGTCCACAGCAGAAAGCAGAAGCTGGATTTTTGGCAAACCCACCTAGGACATCCTTCCCAAAGACAGTGATTGCCCTCCCCAGGTTGCTGAAGAAAGGCCTGGCTGTCACCACAGGACCATGAACCAGCAGCTGCCGAGGGAGCCCAGCTCAGACAGCTCAATAAGCTCACTGTGCCTCATCACCCTTCTGCATGATTTTATTGGCCTCTTTCCTACCCAAACAGTATTTTAATGAGTATGTGGCCTTTGTAGTATTTATTTAGAAAGAAAGATTTCCTCTGTCTTTAAACTATTTAAACCTGACTTCCCTTTCAGACCGCTAATCTGAGATAAAGGAGTACATACACTTTCATGCAATGCCAACGCGCTGAGCACAAAACAAGGTATCTCTGAATTGCAGAGAGGGGCAGCGTGGGGACAGCAAATCCACTTGGACTCCAGCTTACACAGTGGAGGAAAATTTAACCCTGTCCACTCAGGCTGCCTATGGTATTTTATAGTATGGTATTTTATGCCCATAAAATACCAATATTTTCTCCTTAACGAAAGTGTCTTAACTGTTTCTGGTCTGATTTCTCCGTGCTCTGTTCCTATAGGTAAAATATAGTGCCTCATTGCTTGCACTGTTTGAAATATATAAAACAAAATGCTCAGTGCAAAACAGAAGCAAAATTGCAGAATTAACCATGTATGTGCTCTAAGTTTGTGTGCTGTAGGAAAAGCAGTCTGAAAAGCAGCAGTGATCACTCCTGAGAGAGCACATGAGAAAGCTCCAGCTCCACTCAAGCGGCTCAGCTGAAATATGCTATTAACTACTTTTTAAAATCATTACTCCCATCAAAAAACATAACAGCTTTGTGTAGGCTTCATGTACCACAAAGATGAGTTTTACTTTGTTGCAGGGGATTTGGAACTTTTTAAACTCTCAGTCTCCCCTGATTATAATGACAGTATTTCTTCCCTCCTCCCCATTTCCCTGAGCATCCCCACACATTTGCCTTTTACCAAGCCAAATCTCTGTCATTTTGTGGATTTTTTTTTTCGTGTCATCAATAATGTTCCAGTCCACATCCATTTAAACAAGTCTAATAATACTGGAGGGTTTCTGTAGCAGCTTTTGATTTTTTTTTCTCCCTCTGCAAGGCCCCATCTCTGCAATCACCTTCTGCCTGGTCACTGTTTGCAAGCCAAAAGCTCAGCAGTGTGGGAGTGTGACAGTCTTGAGACATTTCCACAGCACCCAGGGGCAGTAAATTAATGCTGACATGACCCACCAAGCACATGGCAGCTCCATTGTCAGAGCTCGCCTAACAGGAGAGATTGAGTTTCACACTGTGTTTGATATTAAATCTCTCCAAGCACAAGCTGACCTGGCTGGGTAGAAAAGATATTCAGGGATCAGCAGTGAGGGCCTCGCTAGGGGAAGGTGCTAAATATTCAGTGCCCTTATTTGAAGCATTGCTGTGCAGCCGGTCGGAGCTCGGCGCGGAGCAGATATTGTACTTACATCTGCTTTGTCCCTTGCAACTGTCCCCATGCAAAGCCAATGCTCCACCATGTCCTTTGTCTTGCTCCCGGCTCTCCCGCCTCCTATCCATGCAGAATGCATGCTCACTGCCTTTCCCATGGGATACCTCCAGCACCCCTGCCCCTTCTCTGATTCTCCTGAGTCCCCCCTGCTTTCTACAGGATCCCACTTGCTTTTGTGGTTGCTAAGCCAGGAGAAGCACATGCTGTTTTGCTGGACATCCAGACTTATTGGGCAGCCAGAAGATGGATAATTCTTGGAAAGCAGCGAGAGATGACCTTTGGTTTGAGCCAGCCATCTAAAAGAAAGAAAAAGAAACAAAAAAACCCCACATTTCCTGGTCGCACAGAAAATGTTCTTTGGGTTGGGGACAGTGTCGTATAAGCTTGTAAAACTCCTACATTATTATGCTTAAATTATTGCATTCGAGATTTTTTTTTCTGAAACTGAAATGGAAAACTAATCTGAAACCATCCAGACAAGAACAGGATAGATGGAAAATGAATATATGCATATTAATTCACCATTGCACCTTCCTTTATAGCCCTCATGAAAGATATTCTGCCACACTTCACACATCTAGCAACATATACAGTTAATGAAAAAAACAGATCTTGATTAGTGGGCTGCCCTAATAATATTTAGTTAGTAGGGACTTGAGTAGAGGTTTATACTGGATATTTCTAGTGATTATATCTGGGAATGCTGGGAATTTGGATTCCTCCAATGCATCTGATGGGCAGATGCCCATCTTGATGGGCTCTGGCAAGCCAAAAGGCACGCCAATGCTCCACGCACAGCAAGGTGTACCTACGTAATGGAGATGTGCCCCTAGATTCCTTTCCAGCAGTTGCCACTGTCTAATTGATGGAATTTGGGAAAACTTGTTAGTTGAAAGTGTTCTGGAGGGGTGCTTAAATGGTCCATCTTGAATTAGCCCGAAGTGAAATTCTACTTTAAAGTTTTTAAAGCAGAAAGGGACCTTTTAATCAATTAACATAACGTTCCACTTATCCCAGGACACTACATTTCTCCCAGTTATCTGATACTGGACTAAGAATTTGCTCTTGTGCAAAACTGAAGTCCCTTGCTCTCTTTAGAGGGGCCACCAATCTCTATTTGAAGACAATTTGAGATGGAGAACCAGCTGTTTTCTTTAACACTTATTATTTCAAAAGTGAATGATCATCACTGTTAAAACTCATGCTTCACTTCCAATTCGAATGTGTCTAGCTTGTAGACCATCATTCTTTTTATAGCTTTCTCCACAACTGAAAGAACATTTTTAAAGCTGGTACTTTCCCCACACGGAGGTATTTAGATTTTGCAGCCAATTCATCTATTTCATTTCTTTTAAATTGGCTGAACATAGAGAATTCTTCAAGTCCCCGAAGTACAGTCTTTAACACTTAAATCATGGTAATGGTGTTTCCGTCAGTCTGAGGACCTAGGACAAAGTGTAGTCTTTCATTGTTTGGATAGAATTATCTCCATATTAAAACCATTATTATTATTATTATTATTATTTTCATTAACATTGACTCGTTGGTAAAACATGACAGTGAAGACTTGCTTTATGTCATTTTACTAGAGTGATCCTTAGATAATTCTGAATTAATTTTTGCTGTCCTTATTTCTGGACACATTGCATTCAGCTCCATTAAAAGATATTTTATCAAGATACTCCACTTGTGATTGACTATCCGAATCTTATTCCTGGCTGCACTACCAGTTCCAGCATTATGCACAGATCTTAGTAGCAGTAGTTTGAAATGTTTTGCCCCATTTCACTGATAAAACTACAGACAAGTACTTGCATGGCTTTCCCTTACAAAAACAGCATTATTTGGTAATCTGCCCCTGACACTGACCTTTGGAAAATTGTAAGCATGAGGCAGTTCTTATATTCTGCAGGGCACCAACTGTTGTGTACCCATAATTTTCAACGATTCCAACAAAAACTGGGATTCTCACCGTGGTCCTTATAACCACAACATCATAACATCCAAGAAATATATTCACAATTCTATTAGATATCAAAAATACTAGATTGCAAAGTATGACTGTCTAGACATGAACAAATATGAAGGCTTTCAGGGTTTTTAGTATAATTTTCCTAGTAATTTTAGTTTATTTCTCAGTAGTTTCACGTATTTTAAAAAACCTTGCAAAACACTATGGCACATGCCTTAATATTGGGACCAATATTATTCTACCAACAATGATGAAGCAAGTTCTGCATGGCCTTTCCTTTCTGCAGTGGCATTAAAGTTACCCAAAGTCTGCATCACCATTTTACCCTTTGGACAGTTCATGACAGTTGCTTCACTCTTTGTATAATGCAGAGTCTAATCCAGAAAAGGTTGACAACATTAGCACCAGTTCTGTCAATGTCTTACACAGTCCAGAAAGGCCTACCTGCAAAAGTGGATTTGGAAACAGTCTGCTTTACTGCATCTTTTAGGTGTCTAGGACCCACTTTTCCTTGGATACCAAGAGCTGACTCTGAGCTGTGTCTACTCACACCAGGCTACCTGGCAAAGCCTTGAGGAAAGGAGGTTGCAGATATTCCACTCTCCACAGTGTGAGCCCTTATGTCTGCTTGGGGAGCAAATCAGACTCACAGAAGGATAAATTCAGCTGTATATATGTCTTTTATGACTAAAATAACTGTATATGTGTATAATGAGAAAGAGACACATGTGCATATGTATATGCACACACATAGCAAAGATGATTTTTCTCCCTGAGGCATTCTGTCTGCTGATTAATTACTAAGTAAACAAGAGTAGTGCTCTTCAGTGATTCATAGTTTCACATTTGCAAGCTGTAATCTAGTCTGAGTCTCCCCAAGGGTCCTGGTTGAGCACTGGACTACTCATGTTCACTCAGCCTGCAGAGACTATTCAGTACTCCATGGACACAGGCTCAGAAACACTCTGAACTGAAGAGAATAGTGAGATCTTCAACAGCTTCCACATTGGGAAGTTTAGCATGAGGATAAGGTAGTGGCATTTTCTGTTACTTGTTAGAACATACTGCTTAGCCTTATCTTCAGTTGACAGAAAAGGGTGTAGCTTCTCTGACTTCAGATCAGTTGATGTCAGATGGGTTGCATTGATCCAGGTGGAGGTGTGATCTTTCAGAATGGTAATTTAAAATTATTTAGATTTGCCTTGCAGGCAACATAATCAGAAACCAGTCTTTTCCCCACCACATATCTACATGGAATCTAACTCCAGCCTTGTTCAGCAGCTGGATCCTGGCAAGGCAGCCATAGTGTCCACTGGCACTCAGAAGAGGACAGTGGCAGAAGTGACCCAGCAGTGAAACATAGATCCCTTCCTAATGAAATGGAGGCCAGTTAGACCTTCTTTTGCTTCTGTGTTCTGCATTTGACAGTTGCTCCATGACTGTCAGGTAGAATACAGATCCTTCAGTGTTAAAGTAGCAGACCAATGCAGCCCATATGAAAAGGCTGACCAAAAAGTACAGGATGTTGGCTGTGGCTTTTCATTTTCAACTGGAATCTTTCAGACTGGCAACTGTCAATGGCTGGGCTCCGTGCAGGTGTTTTTCCACTTCTGGCTATGATTTTTCCCATGGAGAATGATAGCCAGACTTCCACTGACTTCCCTGGGAGCAAGGTCAGATCTGGATGGTACATGTGGGTACAAAGAGAGACTACGCAGCCAAGCAACTTTCTGTCCTCCAGCTTTTAATGTTTCCTCTGTCTGACGAGCCCTTTAATCCAACCTAACCCTTCGGAAATTACAGCATCTCATTTTGCTGCCAATAGGGAAATTTGATTCACTGCCTGAGCTGGCATAGAAAAAAAAAACACACCTTTGGAGGAAGAGTATTTTTGCCTCATTCTCACAAAGATAACAGCCAGTACAGCATTTCACTTTTATTTATACTTCAAAACAGGCATAAATACTATGGCTTTCATATAGGCATGATATGTTGAGGACAAGAAAACTAATTTCCCCATTTATTGAAGTGCCGTGAAAGACTTGGTTAGACACCGAGCAGGGTTGTGTAGTATTTCACCTGGGACTCCCCATCAAGGGTCCTACATGCAGAAGGCAGCACAAGTTCACTTCACCACCTATGTTTTTGCCCAGGTTGAGCACCTACACTGATAACAACTATAGCGTTTTGGCTCATATCACCCACCCAAGGCCAGCATTTCTCCCTGACTGGTGTTTCCCCATCAGTGTTATTAATGCAGACACATCAGCAGAGCCAGTTGCTACAGTTCTGTTCCATGGCCCGAAGGCCCCTTGGCAACCCTGAATTAAAGCCCTCTAGGCAATAAAATAGTTGGGCCCTGAGGGACTTCCTAGAAATGTGCTATGAATGAGCAAACAGGAAAAAAATAATGCTGTGTTGATCATCCTGCCTCTAAGATCACTTTGCTTTACTAAGAATTTATATGCACTAATGGGAAGCTGAACCATCTATTAAAAAGTCTCTGTAACACAGTTTACAGACAGACAGACAGACACACACACACACACACACACACACACACACACACACACAGAGTTTACATTTTAAAACTCCATGTCTCTTCACAACCCTTGACTCTCCAGTCAGTAAGCATCCCTGGGAGGGAGAGAACTGTTTTAAGTATGCTTCTTAAGTCACAGCATCCAGGTTGGAAAAATATGGTATATAAAATTATATACGGTAATAATATATGGTATGGAAAAATATGGAATATAAGTAAACTTAACTAACCTAACATAAAACAATAGTTGCTGCACGCTGCCATGTAGACAGAACACTACAGATACTTGGGAACTAGTAAAACATTCCCTTCTAGATTAAGGGCTGCCTGAGCAAAGAAGATCACATTTTGTTTAGTTCCATAGATGAGGAAGATGGACAAGAAGAATCAGTTGTCTAGCTTTGGTCTTTGGTTTGGGTGTCAAACAGACTAAATCACTGCTTCTTGAATAACGCTGCAATAGCTGGTATATAGAGATACCCTGATTGAAGGACAGAAGATGCACTTGGCACAAGGCAGCCAGCTGGTGCTTTGGCACACCTAAGTCTACTGCAGAAGCCTTCTTGTAGCCTTATCTCTTAACTCATTTGGGACATAAACACCAAGTCTGAGCAATGAAAGCCTTCCTTTCCCTCTACATATTAGTTCAACTCACTAAGATTTGAATCACAGATTCCCTCTACGTCCCCTTATTATAAAGGGAGCCTATGGCAAATTCATTCCAAACGTACACACCAGCAAGATGCCTATGTTTTTTATGGGCATATTTATGAGATGAAGCTATATTTGGATTTTAGCCATGAAACAACTAAGGACAGACCCCCTCTTATGTGGATCAGTCATACTAGTGCAGTGTATACATTCCAAAATACCTGTCATTATTGTTCTGACATAACTATTAATTCAATAACTCGTAGAATTCTCAATGCATCAAGTTTGAGTTTTTAAAGGAAACTGCAAAATATTTTTCTTAATAGAAGCTTCCAAACACACAGCCTAGCCTTACACTTGCTGGAATCACCTGCAGAACTTACAGGTTGCTTTCTTGGAGACTAAACGAGACCCATAAACTGCTAAGCACAGCAGAGAACTGCTAGGACGCTGGCTCAGTGCAATCATTTATATTCCTTCGTTGCCTCCCCCAGGGGCTGCTAAGCTCAGAGAAGCCTTTAACACACTGACACCTCTGAATGTACATTCCTGTTTACCTCGCCAAGCTGCTGCTCCACATCCTTTCATCCAGTGAAGATAATCTAAGAAACCTAAAGGAAATAGCAGAGAGTTTCAGGACCCTGAGTGCACCAATAGGCCCTATCTCTAGTCAGAAACCAGCTCGAGAACGGCTAATTCAGTGGATTCAGTGGAAGGCAGATGGGTCAGCTCAATGCCTTCTTTGAAAAAAAGGAATGGGCTTCACCTAATGACTGACAAATTCATGAGATCTGAACCAACTGCATGCTGTTGTTTTTTATTCTGCTTGCTTATATACCAGTAGGAAGCACAATGGTAGGAAGCTACTGGGCCTAAAATTCTCTGGTAACAGCTCTCACTATATTAACCAGGTACTTGATCTGGCCTTGACCTACACTCCCCTACAGCTGCATTATTTGCAGGGAACAGGAGGCAAAATCATTCCTACATGCCATAAAGTTATAGGGACAAAGGACTAAAATACTCAGCTCAGCCCCCATGCCTCTGTTCTTTGGGTAACACTAAGAACATGTTTGAGAGCTAATGGCTGGGACTTGAGAGATACCAACACCCTCCATTATACTGTGACCACATTCAAGTATTTCCTGCAATTTCTTGGTGTCAGTAGTAAAGTATCTACTCAACAGCACCTGAAGTGATTAAATACGCCTCATAAATGTCAAAATGCTTTCCAGCATAAATCTTCAAAGGTCTGCATGAAACTGTGTTTAAACCGTCTCCTCTTTCTCTCTTTGCCTTCAGCACCATCAAGAATGGGAAGTGACATATGTGTTACTGAATTTTAGGCATTTATTCCTACTAATGGTACAGTACAGCACTGGACTATGAAGTCATATCATGACATATCAGAGGTCATTTTCTAATCAGTTCCTGCACATCTTTCTGTTAGCACTGACTGGTCAGGCTGAAATATTCATCAGCCTCTGCCTGATCTACCTTACTTGCACAGTTAATTTGGAAGCTGTATCTGGAAACCAATGAGTTCAAGTAGTGTTTTCCTGCACAGAAACAAGCTAGCGAGGAAAATATTCTACTCTCCATAGGGTCATTCACTCCTATGTACAAAATGCAACTCATTCTTCTATGAGAACAATTCCCTTTAGAAGTGTGAATCATTTATGGGTGGTGCTATAATTGTTTTCAAGATTGAAGCTATAAGTATGAGAAGGCCCTAGCCTGAAATGGGGTAGCAGTATAAAAAAAAGAAGCAGATCAAGTGGCATCAGACACTAAAGCACTAGACATACATTTATCAGGGACAAAAATCCAGCCTCTGCCAGTACTGCTGTGTTCATCCCAAATGTCCATAGCAGTCAGCAGTAGTGACCACATGCTATAAGACCCCTTTGCTGTGGTGGTGACCATGGCATTCCTATGGCAGTGGTGACAGGCCACCTCAGCCAGCCTTTCAGGAAGGGGGAAAAGCTCAGGGTGGCTAGAAGTCATGTTTTCCCTTGAACTCTGTAGGCTGGTTTGGGTAGAGACGTCACTCCTTGCAATTGCGCCCAATTCAGTATGATTTCTCAGGATTTAAGTGTGAAATAACACCAACATTTGTTCCACAGTGCACATTTTCCTCATCTTCTTGGAAAAAAGAAAGTGTGAGCTGCTCAACTACTGCGCACCAAGCAATTTGTTATGTTTGCTCATGGAGACTAAACTAGTCCTCTCTATAACGCCCCATTTCTCCTCTTTCTTATTACTCCACATCCTCACACCCCATACAGTCCATCCACTGAAAGACTGCCTTAATCTGTAGGGTTCTTTGAAGTTTTCCAAAGGTGAATAATTCTGGTCTATTTGATACCTTTCGCAGTGTAAACCGCAGGCAGACATCTCCCTTTCCCAGATTAAAAGCCAACATTTGTGACTGCCCGTTCAAATGGGCCACAGCACAGAGGCTGCATGTGCATGCAAGGTGGGAACGAACCCCACAGGATGAGTTGCATCTTGAAGCATATTGAAAAACAGTTCACTTTCTATGAAATATAGGCCTAATATGGTCTTAAAGAGGGCAAACTGCATGAGGGATTCCTTTGCTTTTGACCATAGTCCTGAAGGGAAGTAACATGGGTGATGGTAGTAGGATTGGGAAATAAGAGGCTTCCAGGTTTAGCCAAACACAGCAGAGAATTGCTTTGCAGTTTGCTGCTCTGTGCACCTGCAGAAATGGCCATGGCACCAAAACAGTACCCCAAAAGTACACAGCAATAAACCCGAGAAGCACAAGCAGGTGCAACTCCAACCTGAGAGACAGAAGGGTGCTCATACCATCTCCCCCAGGACTCTCCTTGGCTAAAATAATTAAACTCAATCCACCCTCCAAGTCTCCAGGGTTTTCCAGCAGTTTCAATATTTACAATAGCAAATAGCACTAGAGACAAACATCTCCTCAAACCTGCAATTACATGTTTAAAGTGGGTTAATTTTATAAATGTGCCTATACTAAGACCACTTTCCTCTGAAAGGGGCAGCACAGCCTAAGTTGTAGAGCATTTGCTGGTCCTGTACAGAAACCTGCTTCCTGTAAGCAGAAACTGTAAGCATAGCAAGCTCTACTTTATCACTATCTGACTAAATATATAAATAATCAGAAATCTGAAGTGTGTGTTGGACAGCACCCTCAGGCTATCATTTTACACCCAGCTGTTATTCTGAGAGGATTCTCAGTAAATCCAGGAATAGACCCAGTCAGGAGTCAGGAACAGACTCAGAGAAGAATGTCACCATATGGCAGGCTTCTGCCTGTTACATAAATATATTGATTAGCTGAACTGTCTTCAGAATATCTCTATTAAGGAAAGAAAATTTTATACCTTTTTCTTGAGTTATCAGAAAGACGAAAGAGTCCTTGAACTGCCCATTTATTTTCATCCAAGTATGTTATCCACAGGATAATACTGATTGCTTCAGAAAACTGGTTAATTCAGTTCAGGTCTTAAGCTTGAATGCACTTCCTAAATAAAAAATTGAACAGGATAATCATATATTATTGCTATGATAACCCATGTGGCATGTGAGCAACCTGAAAGACAATAATATTCTTATAACATTGTCATTGGCAAAAGAAAAAATTGATTCTGGAGTTTTAAAATATACCTTACAAACAGGAAAGATTCAGTGGCATGTTAAAACTCACTGTGAAAATAGAAACCTTGGGAGATTTTTTTTGCCCTTTATTTAGGCAGCAAGATATTGAGTATTGAACTGTGTGCATTAAAGCTGAGAGGAACTTGCTGTAATACTGGTTCTGCCATTCCCTTACTGGGTAATCTAGAACAACTCACTTCTACCTCATTGAGCTTCTCTTGGTCTGAAGAGAGGTGGAGGCCCAAGTCCCAGATCCAGACCCAAGGAGACCCTATGTCCTGCATGGTGGCAGGTGACACCTGAAGCATTGTACTGCATTTTGGGGCTTTGGTGGGTAAGGAGACAGGGGCCTTGGTCTTAGAGCACAATGCGTCCAGAAAGGTGTCCTACAGCTCAGCAGGACCTGCCATGCTCCAAGACTTGCTGGTTGGGCTGTGCAGAAGAAATGGCAGCTACCAGAAGCCAACTGCTCATAGAATAAGAACTGGGACTACAGTCCAGCAAGAAGGAAAGACAGTTTACAATTAAAAAATGAAGACTGGGAACAGACTATTGGGCTGTTCATTCCCCAGCCTGAACTAACAAAATGGATTTGTTAGCATGTGCACTGAAGACACCATCCAAAACTGTATTCATCCCTCACTGATCTGGGCATTTCTAGAAGTAAAGGGAAGGCATCTTCAAGATTACAGCCACATACCGAAATCCATCTGTGGCACAAATCAAACCACACAGTAGAACCTTAGCACGGTGCCCAGGAATTTGCTTGCACAGCTTCACACTACCAGCATAAGGAGCATTTTTTTTCCCCCCCCTCCATTTTCAAGGTGCCTGGGTAATTTGCTCAGGCCATTTCAGACCCTGAGGTACGTTTGGGTCAAGGCTGGTTTGGGGTTTGGCTTGGGGGTGGCCTCCTTCTCTGTAAATATGGAATGAATAGCCCAGCATGGCACTAAGGAGCTCTATATCGTGGCTGATACCACGCTCCAGAAGAGAGGATAAACCCAGGTTTCCAGTTGCTCATAGCTGTAACTGCTGTTTTGCACTGCTGGAAAGACTGAAGCTACTCACCATGAGATCGAGCCAATTTCATAGCTGGGTGACAACTGCAGTCATATAAAACAGCAAACAAACTCATCCTGAAAAGATTTCTGTGCTGCGCTTTGGGTTCACAATGTTCGCAAAGAAAGTTCTGTTGGTTTTGAGTGTTGTTGGCCAAAATGGAAACATTTTCCAGGGAAGCCAGCCAGGTTTTAAAGGAGGCCAAATCTGTTTCCACGTGGAAATTGGCTCTTTTTTTAAGTATAGATGAGTTCTGCATAAAATATATATGTGTATATATATATTAAATTCCTTCCCCGCCCACAACTGTATATGCTTTTATGCATCTTCATGGGAGAACAGTTATTACATATATAACAAGAAAATGTCATTTGAAGTGGTGCAATATTATGTAATTAAAATGGCAATCATGTCAGTATGGATATGAGACAGGGAAAAGGGAGAAAAATTCTAGAAAACAAAAATTATCCATTTCAGTCAGCTTTTTGCAGCCTAAGTTCTCTTGGAAGCTGCTCATGAGTACAGATGGCTTCCACTTTCCTGTTCTTTAAAATGTAATCAAAGCTTCATTAATAGGAAAAAGCTATATATATAAAACCCATCAAGTATTATATGATTACTTTAAAATATGGTATACTGACATTTCTTAACAAAAAGGCAAATAATACACCTTTTGCCACTGTAATAGTCCTTGAGCTGAGTGCGCTTGGAGAGCAAGATTTTTCAAGAGTTGGATCATAAAGCTCCACACCCTCCTCAAGAAGAGTGTTGCAGAAAAGAGAGAAACAGTTTTTAATACACGATGTACTGAAGAACATAGTTGTGTCAGAAAGCACGTGGCATGTTCCAGTGCCTCGATCTGTAACAACTGCCATTTGGAATATTGTCCTCTAAGTACTTTGCCTGTTTAGTCTATTTTGAATAGCTTCATTATAGAAATTATGGGAATTTCTCCAATGACTCTGCAATAAAAAAAAAAAGTTTTGGGAAGGATGTCAGCTTTCAAATTGTCAAAATGCCCCATTTCTACCTTTCCAATGGGAGGGTTGAGGGGGAAGTGTTCTATTGCTAATATTAATTGCAAGTTTCAGGAAGAAATAATAAAATATATACACATATATTTGCTACAGTATATATTCATTAAAAATTTGTAGCAAAATAATGATACTTTGGCTCATAAATAAATGGTTTAGAGATGATCAAAGTGGAAGATTTCAGCTAGTCTGCACTAAGTGCCAGAGGAAGGTTTCAAGCTAAAAACATCAAAATCTTGGCAATTTACAGAGGATGGAAACCCAGGCCTTGCCCTCCTGTGATCTTACACATCCCAGATCAATGGCATCTTTAGTACAGGAGATTCTGGTGCTGTAAAGTCCTAATTAGCAGATGCAAGGCCTCATACCAGATGAGCTCAATATTAAGAGGACATGTGAGCCTGGCTCTCATGAGCAGACAGATTACCTGGAAGAAAACTGTGCACACATGCAGGAATCAGATAGTTCAGTTGCCAACTCATCTCTTATTGAAAAAGGTCAGTGCTCCATTCAGGTATTTGCTAAATATAGAAAAAAGCTCAGGAAGTGGCACTCTTTGATCTTGGAATACTTGCAAGTTTGGCAGCATGGAAGGATGAGGGAAACATTTCAAATGGATCTAGAGAAACAGATGTTTGGCTTCTTCCATTAGCTACCACTACATCAGTCCCTGGCCCAAACTAGTTTTTAGCACAGGTGATTTTCCACAAAGCTAATCCCATTTTCATTCAGGGTATTCTTCTTCCAATAAAAACCCATCTGCTTGCTAGCTTTATACACTGTCATAAACTGTAGCTGGTCCAAATGGTCTTTCAAGAGGGTCTCTGCACCAAAGCTGAGGAGAACTACGTGCTACTTAGTGAGAAATCACAGAGCTGCTCTCAGCTTGAGCCGTCTGAATCACCAGCTGAGGAGAAACTTGACTTTTTGCTCCAGTTCTTCTGCTCTTTTCAAAGAAAATTTTTAAAAGCAAATACATCCTACAGGCAAGCAAATAAACTTTCTCATTGCATAGACACCCCTAGCAATAGTGAAATGCACCACAAAATCCATTTTCTCATGGATTTTTTCTTGAAATATTTCCTGCCTACCTACTTTTTTTATTTTTCCCCCCCCATCTGCATTTGTATCACTTTTCATATTCTGCATGCAGAAGCATTTATTTCATCCTCTCCAAAATACACAGCAAAGGGCTACCAACATGCTCCAGCAGCTAAATCCACAGTCACTTCACAAACAAGAAGCCACACTGAGATGGTTATAACCAATGGAGGGTCATGGCAACAGTTTTGTTTCACAAAGTCTCAAAGAAAAGGCCCAACTAGAAACAGCCTGAACCAGATCTTCCCCTTGAAACCAAGCAGAACCACCCCAGCTCTAATTTAAAGCCAGAACACACTGAAACAGTGTTTGTCAGTCCAAGCTTAGTCCCAAATTCATACCTTTCTGCAGGTCCTAGCACCTAGCACCAAAATTTCCCCATGGCCTTTCTTCTCTCTTAACTAGTAATGCCCAGCAAAAGCAAATGCTTATGGACCAGTCAATAAATACAGATGACTGCTTGAACCTCTAACTACATGCAGCTGTCCATGCAATTATGTACTTATGTACTTACATTGTTCTTATTAACTTCATGCCTCATCAGCTCCCATTCATGAATGGGTTTTATCCTCTGCAAAACCCCTGCAAGTTCCTACCACAATAAAACAATAAATAATGTTTAAGTCAACATTTGGTCCTAATTTTCTTATAACAGTGCCAGGTTCTTCTGATCATCAAAATAGTTTTTTATCTTGAAAACACTGCAAAAAAAAAAAAATGCTGTCAACAAAAGCAAGTCTGTACTGGAAAGTTTACAAGTTCAACACAAGTAATTCTGCTGCTTAACAAAACTGTGATTGCAAAAGAAGTCAAAACATTTATTCTGCCATGAGTGTAATTTAAGGATATTTAGCTTTTGCTAAACATTTCACAGACAAAATGGTATTCCATCCTGTGTTATTAACCTTTAGGTTACAAAGTCTAATAAGAGATTTGCAGTAAAGTTGTGTTTCCAAAACTAAACTTGCATACAATATTGCAGCTTTACAAAAAGATAAATAATTTCTTAGAGTTGCTCTCCTGTATATTTTTTAATCTTTTTTTTTTTTTTTGTGTATAGGAGTTCATTATAAGACATAATTTGTTTAGCATCAGAATACAGAATAAATGTGCTTACATCATGTAATTCAGTTCTCCTTTATGCACTGTGACTACCAACCAGTTTGTCACTAGACTACAGGAAATAAACCAGGGATAAGATAAAATCTCAGCATAGGTCTCATAATTTCAGAATAACCCAAATTTGGGGTTAGCACATTAGGGCAATTCTTTAGGGACCAATACAGAGCCCAAATGTCAGCAAACTAAATTCATCAAAGATTAATTGGGATGAAAAACATGCGAGGGCATTTTGCTTCTCCCCAGTAGAGAGATCAGTGGATCTCACTCACAGCTGGTGTGTTCTTTGCAGAAAATCTACTATGTTCAGCCAGAGCTTTTTAAGCAATAGATTTTATGGCTTCCTTCAGAAGTGGTGAGGTTGCACTGAAAGGCAATAAAATAATTAATTTGTAATTTGATTACCAGCATGTGACTATAGCAAATCCTGGGTAGAAAGCGTATTTGGATGATGTGCAGCTGTCACAATTTCTGGGTACTTTTGTTTCCATTGTGTGCATGCCCTGTGTGAGAAAATGCCACCAAATTCCCCAGTGCAATGACCATGTACAAGAATAACAAGAAGGTTAGGAATTATGACAGCAAAAGAAACAAAAGGGGAAAAAAAAGTGCTTTGCAAAAGCTATAAAATCTTCTTCTGTGGGGGTTAATCAAACCACTAATCAATGGGGTTGCTTTTCCTGCAAACAGGTTATGTCATAACTGAGTGCTATGGGTATCTTCCTCTAAACATCTGGCACTAGCAATGTGAGAGACAGGTATTGGACTAGAAGCCTTCAAATACCAGGAGAGAAAAACTCCTCCAAAAACCTGCTTGAGGGTTTTAACTGTACTGCAAGGGCAAATGGTACCATTCAAAAAAATCCCACAGACTTAATATTCCGGCAACTATTTTGAACACAAACCTAGTACCAAGAATAAGCAGCCCTATTTGGATGCCTCTACACCATGGAATTCGCTGGCTGGTGGAAACCTCACATCTACTTGTTTTACTCCCCTAAACACAATAACTCTATGTGGGCAAATACCCGGTAGAGACTTAAATCACCTCACAGATGACAATCCAAAAGCTAAAATGTGTTTGAGCTCCTCGTGTCAGATGATGAATTCATTAAAATGCTCCTTCCCACTGCCCCAGCTGGTAGCCATGGGCCTGATCCAAGACCCCTCCAGAGCATCGCTCTTCATAATGACCTTCTTTGCTGGGTCATCTGGGAGCATTGCCCTTGGAAGCATCCCCCTGGTGCCATAGCTCAGGGAAGGAGTGAAATAGGAGCTGAAAGCTCAGGGCAGACCCAAGGTTTGTGTGATCGCTGGCCAATACCTGCTGCTTCAAACGAAGTGTCATGTCCCCAGTGGAGGAGTTACACAATGCCATGGCTGCAAGGGGAGTTATCCTTCCTCTGCCCTTCAGTAAAAGGCTGGTTTGTACTCCAAAACATCACCCCTTCCAGGCAAGAGGTCTAATATTCCCAAATTTTGCTCTTGGGCTACGTGAATGTTTAGTTCTTAACCTAGTTCCTCATTTGCACCCCTGTCTTTTTGGGGCACAAAGATGTCTTTTAAGATTAGTTTTGGCTTTCCTTTGGGAAATCCCTGTTATGAGATCACCAGCAAAATCAGCTGAGACTTCATTACTTACTGCTTGGCTATCCTAGGACAGGGAATTCTGCTGCTCAGATGGTTTTTGCTTTACCTCTTGGGTAATATGTGTTATTCTGTGCATGGTCTTATGGTGAGAAAATGAGGGTAAAAGTTACTTCAGGCTAAAGGAGTATATGACTAAAGTATTGCTTTCATTTATTATTTAATCTCATTCTATTGTGTTTCATTATGGTACGCTCAATAGGCCTGTAATCATGGGGAACAAGATAGAAAGGGTAGGGCAAGTATTTTATTTCCTGCCTTGGCTGGTGCTTAATTTTTATTACAGCTTATTTTGAATCATGACTTTTAGATAAAGATCCAGCATGTAGGCTTAGAAATATGGTTCTGGGGTTTAACCACCAGTTATTTTTTGGCTAGCTATAGGCAATATAAAGAGTTAATCCATTGTCCATTTTTTTACAGCTTGTTGAGCTTTTGTTTAAAAAAATGGGAAATGATATAGTGGTGCTTGAAAAAAAACTGTTTTTCCAGCGCTTTTGGTACAACAATTGTTCAATGTAAACTTGCATGACACTGCGAGCTTCCTCTTTGCTAATAGCCCAAATGTTCTTTTTCCATCAGGAAGAAAATTACTGTGACCAGAGTGAGATCACACTGACTCCTGCAGAATGAGGTGTCCGACTGCAGTGCCAAGGCAGGGCTCAGGAACGATGAAAATACACATGGAGTGCAAGCGGAATTAGGCATGTACTGGGGATGGAGGGAGGGAGATGTATATTGTTGGGGGAGTATTAGTTTTTGAAGGAAAAGCCATGTATAATGTGGCCTGTACAGGAAAAGGGCATGAGTTAGAAAATGAGATGCATGATTTTTGCCTATAAGGAGGAAGGGGTTCATGGTGCTACCCACAGACACTAAATGCTTGGACAAAGACACAGAAGATTGCAATGAAGTGGCTGAGCTGTGAGATGAAACTTCCCCATGTTGACAGCACTGAGAAGGGAGGTGACCTCAGGTGGACATCATGGCACATGAGGAGGCATGGAGTCAGCAGGAGGTGTGGGAGTCAATGTTCCCACTCAAAGCTCTGCTCCCAAAGACCCCACTCTGCCGGAGCGATGGGCGTCCTCGGATCTGGCCACCCTGCATTTGGCCTTGGGCTGATCAAGGCAATGGCCATCACATTCTGGCAGCAGAGTCCCAAAGACAAGATGACCAAAGATGCGCTTTCATCCAAGTGTCTTTGCTGACATCTGGGAACTAAGACGGAAGAAGTGAAAGAAGATTTTCAGTACAGCCACTTTGCTCTTGAAATAACAGAAACCACTTGAGAAACTGCAGGTTAGGACAGGTCTGGAGATTTCAGAAGTTTTTCAGTAAAATTTTACACTGCTTCTTGAGGTAGCTTGTTGAAGGAGAGATCTTGCCAGGCTGTTACTCATAAAAGGAGTTGAAAGATCCCAGAAAAAATAAAAAGGTCTTGCCTAGAAAAGCATTGCATAGACACAAGTCATCCAACTTCCTCATAGAAACAACTGTCTGATGGGGGAAGTCCATCTCTGCTGTCCCTTGTTGTGTCATTTGTACACCAAACATGGGAAAACAGACCACAGACGCAGGCATGAATGGGTCTGGGGACTCTCCAGGCCCTTTGACCCAAGCATGCAACCACAGACAGAAACACATCCCCCTTACTGTGAGAATTCACCATCAGGCTCCTACACAGTCAGTTGACAAGGGGACGCTGGCAAGGGCCAAAAAGCACCTCGCCTGCACCTTCCACCACGTACATACCTCGTAGCAATGGGGCAACAGGTCTGTCTACATACCAAGGGCTCACAGCCCCAAGCTCCTCCTGGGGATGGTCCCTCCAGCTAGGATCTGCAGAGCCCCTTCTGGACAAGGTGGCTCAGTTCTCTCTCACATCCCATGGTGCTGGAGCAAGCAGACAAGCAGTTATCATTCCTTGCTGATACTTTGCAACACCCCCTTGCAGTTAACCACCCCCTGGATTTCTTACTGTGCGCATTAGCAAATGCAGACATTCGATATTTGTGTTACTTTTTCTGTCTCCTTTTACTTCAGTAGCCCTCAATGGGCCCTTTGAAGCAACAGCCTGGCATAGATATTGCCATGGTAAAATGGTAGGATGTGCTGAAGCTCCTCCATGTCAGATGTTCAGCAGTTAATTTGGGATGGCAAAAAGCCCACGGTGGCCAGTTCCTGTGTCCTGTCCAACAGGCGATGACATTCTCTGATTGCAATCCTGATCCTACGCACCTCAAAGACAATTTTAGTCTGCTTTCATGAAAGATAAAATCTTTCTTTGTGTTCTTTTTTTCCATTGCTCAATTAACTATTGTTTTGCTCAGTACATCTTAATCATAAGTTCATTAATAGATGTGCTCTTTGGACTTGTGGGCACTCTGTAATATGATGGCATTGATCTTTTTGAGTAACATCATTAATACTATTTACCCCTTAAATGCACCCACTATGTCCCCCAAGAAATTCTAAAACTTTGTTTCATGGTACTGAATGAATGCATCCATCTAAAAAGACTACAGCACATGTCTGCATAATTTTATGCATCTTATGTATTTATACTTGTCGTTAGCCATTATTAGCACTTGTCAGGGAGCATATTTGCCCTTTTGCGGCAAAGCCAC